TTATTTGTTGGACCTTGTCCCCTAGATTTTTACATGTTTTGGAGTCTGCAAAATCATTTTGGTGATCAAATGCTGCGTAGACCATCTGCTGCAAAAAAAAAAAAGATGTGGGCAACTTCTTTGTTTGAGCTGGACAATTCAAAAGTTGGTCGTATGCTGGTCCTGGATCATAACCAACAATGGCAAATACTATCCTGATTAATTTTTTTTATATTATCTTTGAATAAAATCACATTTTCTGCATCCTAATTTTCAGTAATGATTTCTGATTTTTTGTGTGTATTTGTAGATTTTCATGTATCTCGTACTTTTCTTGTCAGATAACTTAATTCATTAAAAAACTTGTTTCATTTTAACATTATTGAATATAAATTTCAACCAAAATGATTTGCTGATATTAAATTTAAATCTTTTATATTGAGCGATATCTTCAAAATAGTAATATAAAAAAAGATATTTAAAATGTAATTGAAATATATTTTACTTTCAATTTTTCAGATAAAATTTTACATTGTTCCAAATTATTACTGGAAGTTTACATGAATATTAAATTAAACAATCATTTATACTGCAACCATTCTAAATATATTCTGTATTTGAATTGTGAGAAATATTTTAATGAAATGTGAAAACATCATTTCATTATAATGATAATAAGCATTAAGTAATTTATATTAATCTAATATTGCTGTTATAAAATTTACAATTTATTAAATTCAATAATTAACTTATTCTTTTGTTTTTTATTAATGGAGTTTGATAAGAAGAATGAAATTTTGGAGATGTATATGATTTGTTCAAAATAGTTGTTTAATAATCTAGTGTTGCTATATAACCTTGCCTCTCTTAAACCAGTTTTAAAAAGTTTGTGAAAGAATTTCTAGCTTATGTCCATTTTAAAAATTGAAATGAATGATAAATTGTATTAATTGTGCTTTTATTCCTTCCATTTGTTCATAAAGGTTCTATTTTTATCATTATGTTTATTATTACTTATTATCAATATTTTTTATCTAAATAGAAATAGAATATATTTATTGTTTTTACAGATGATATTATTATTAAATTTGTTTTTATTATTGTAAAGAATTATAATGCATTTAATAAAAAGTTTATTGTCTGTATTTTTCTCTGCTTGTCTTCTATAATTTTTCAATTAAATAATATTATTTAGATCAGTTATAATTGATTAACTTGTTAGAGTCTCTGCAGAATTAAAACAGTTTAATATACTCAATTTGTTATTTTTAATGTTGATAACATTAGTTTACAGCCATTTTGCAACTGTGGGAATAAAGTATTTTTTTTGTTAGTTCCTCTGTGCTGAACACAAAAATGAAGTTAAAAATTCTCTGGTATGTAAAATTTTCAAGTTGTGATCTTAACAAATTTTAAAATACATGATGCAGAGACTTAATTTTAAAATACTGATATGTGCAGACTATAGGGCTTTACTGGAACTTCAGGATGGTTTTACCAAATACTGTTGTTTTCTTTGTCTTTGGAATAGTAAAGCAACACAAAATCATTTTAAAGTAAAATAATGGCCTCAGAGAGATGAATTTGTTCAGGTCATGCTAACGTAAAGAATATACCTCTAGTTCAAGGATTTCCAAAGTAATGCTGCTGTCTGCTGGGGTAAGTAAATTTATAATCTAAGGGTTACTAGGATCAAGGTCCTGACTGAACAGTGACTTTCATCCATTAAAACAGGTGAGAAGAAACATTATATTTGTTTCCAGACATCGTGAACAATGTACAGTAAAGACAAAGTATGAGGTTCATAGAAAAGTTTTTCTAAGAATATTTCCAAGTCTTTCTCACACAAGAGAAAATGGGTTAGGGGCACTGGGGATACAGTTGGAGACATTGGGTAAAAGTTTATGGAACCAGGGGACAGCAGCTCAAAAAAGTTTGTGAATCATTGCTCTAGTTCAGGGATGGCGAACCTTTTTGAGTCTGCATGCCACATAGTAAGCATATTAAGCATACTTTTCTTTAAAAATGATTATGCATGCAGAAGTTTTAGACTTCTAGTAACTATATTTAAATTTGGCCGAAGGGCCAAGCGGTCAAAGTGGTAGCTTATCGCTCTTGTGGACCTGAGATCAAAACCCCAGAAAATTTTCAGGTGGTGATTTATTCTTCACCATCCGACTGTTCCATTTGGAGTTAGCTAAATAAAAAAGCCCTCTTAGTGACCACAGGGCAAAAAGAGTTTTAAAATATTATATTTAAATAAATAAAATAATATGCTATAATTAGAGTAAATGTAAAGAACCTGATTGAAAAAGATAATAAACCAATATTGTATAATACATTACGTGCTGGATGATTTCTTCGATGAGCCACTTTTGGGCACGCGNAGATCAAAACCCCAGAAAATTTTCAGGTGGTGATTTATTCTTCACCATCCGACTGTTCCATTTGGAGTTAGCTAAATAAAAAAGCCCTCTTAGTGCCCACAGGGCAAAAAGAGTTTTAAAAAACTAAATTTAAATAAATAAAATAATATGCTATAATTAGAGTAAATGTAAAGAACCTGATTGAAAAAGATAATAAACCAATATTGTATAATACATTACGTGCTGGATGATTTCTTCGATGAGCCACTTTTGGGCACGCGTGCCATAGGTTCACCACCTCTGCTCTAGTTGATCTCAAAAATGTTGTGATACCCCACTGCATATAAAACTTGGATTAATAAAAACCTTCATCAAAGCAATGGATAAAATATGTACTGTTTTCAAATACCTTAAACAGATTTTTTTCAAAACTAAGTGATACTAAGCTAAAATTACTTCAGGATGCACAGTTTGCTTAAAAATTGAATGACATTGAACTAAGTGCAAGGACATCTTTTAAAAGGAGTTATAGCAATTTTTGGGCAAGAGATAAACAGAAAACTACAAAAAATACACAAAGGAGAATTACTCAAACTACAATAAAATGGATTGTGGAATGTCTCTTAAACTATTTTTTTTACATTCGCATTTAAATCTTTTCCCTGAAAGTTTGGGTATCATCAGTGATGAGCAAGGGGAGAAGTTCCACCAAGATATTCTAACAGTGATATCCTGGTGAGATCCTGCAGTGATGGGAGACTATTGCTGGTTCATTATGAGAGAGAGTAATATGAAATATAAATGAAAATCAGCATTTGCAAAAAAGTTATCAACGGCATATTGGCCATAAATGTAATTTCATATATATTTTTGTAAATGAAACAATTTTTTTGGTTTGATATAAGTTGAATTTCACTCCTATTTTTTTCCTATATTTACAATAAATAAAAATAATTATATTTTAGAACTCAATATATAAAAAGTTATGCTTGCCATATTCGTAAAAAGGATGCTTTATAGACCGCTAAACACTCTCTCTAATATTAGTCACGTAAATTTTTTTCATTTGTTGAGTAGTGTAATCTTTTTTGTACAAGAATTTACTACATAAATTAAGAAAATAATGCTTTATTTTGAATGCAGTTATAATTAAAATAATAATTATTGAGTCAAAGGCTTATAGAAGTTTAGATGTAAGTTTGTGCTTTTAAAAATTTTAAATTTCTCTTTCTGTATTTATATTAACATTTATAATGTGCAAATTTCTTATAATTCAGGAACATTTATAATTATATAACATTTGATTTCCATCCTCCAAACCAATAAAAATTCCAAATGCAGATGATAAAGAATAAAATTTCAAATAATATTTAAGAATTATAAAGCATACTTATACAAAATTTTTATATTGTGAATATTCAAGGAGAAGCATATGTTCTATATTTGTCAAACTATTTGCTACATGATAAAAAATAACTTATGAGTTATTTTTAAACGAGGAAACAAACATGAATACATGATAAGTGGATGCTTCTAGAAGATATTCTTAGGTACAACCAATCAGATAAAATATACCCATTAAGTATTTAACTCTTTAAGAATAGGTAGGTAAGGTTATTTTAATCCTGGCTGTATATAGGAATAGTAGTGCTTGGTAAATGACAAAATTTGTTTAACGACAAATATGTTTTATTCATTGGTGAATTGTTTTTTGATTGAAAATTACAAAAAAAAAAATTGTAAAATAGTCTTGGAGGAAACAGTACAACAAAACTGCCACAGGATGCCACAATATATTAGTAAAGCTTTAACTAACGTATCAATATGACATTTAAATAATAATTTGTTATTGAATATAGTTAAAAACTTTAAGGGAAAGATCATAAAACTAAACATTTGATTATATAAAATGAACAAAAAATCACTGTGCATCATCATTGTGTTGTTTGTAATTTAGATACACAGGGATTTTTTGATCAACCTGTATATTAGAATATTGTGGTTTTGTTTTGTTTTTGACATACTATTCAATCCTTTATTCAAGTGTAATAGAATCATAGAATATAAAAAAGTGTTTTTTATGAAATTCAAAAAAATGTTTAATTTTGTTTGTAAATGTATTAAAAGAATGTTCACAAATATTTCATTTTCCCCTTCAATCAGCCATGCCATTAAAAATTTCTGTCATAAATGTTGTTTAACCTTCCATCGGATGCATTATATCAATTTGATACATCATGCACATTTTAAATTGTCATTTCTTAACAAAAAATTTTTAGCCATGCCTACTTTTCAGTAACTTCATTTTTCTCATTTCTTATGATAACTTTTATTCTTAAAATTTGAAAAAACTTAAGTGATTAATTAGTATTTATTAGTAGTTAAATAGTTAAAACATGTAACACTAAACATTTTCAGATTTAGTATCAATTTTATTTAATGTAAAATTGATAATAAATCTGCAAATTTTTAGTTAGATAAATCAAATTTTTTCCTGAATCTTAACTTTTTTTGACAGACAGACATGATTTATATCTTATAAAATATATTATTTATATATTAGTTTTTACATGTTGGATAGTGACAAATTATATGTAAAATGATTGAACAAGTCTTATATGAAACCATTGTTTACTATAAATTTTTATCCTACAGATAAAAGAAAGTATGAAGAACACAAAAACAAGTTAGTTGAAGAAAAATATCATGATGTGAAAAAAGAACATAAACCAAGAAATTCAAGTAGAAATAATGATAGACAAGAAAGGCCTAGAGATAAGTACACAGAAGAAAAAATCAAAAGACGACGGCATTCACCTGAAAATAAGAGGTAATTTTTTAATATGTATAATTTTTGTGATTTTGATTGTTTAATTCTTGGTTTTTGTTAAATTAGAGTAAGTTTCTACATGTAAAAATATTTTGGAAACTGGATTTGTTCTATTTATTCATTCATAGTATTGAAATAGCATTTGATACCCATGACATTTTTTTTAAATCAATTTATAACATTTTGTAAATGATGTGCTCAAAATCAACAGCTGAAGATCTTTGAAATTTTTGCTTGTTAGGCATTTCCAAATGTGAATTATTTCTTAGAAAGTTGAAACCAAAATGTTTTTTTTTTTTTGTTGTTCATCTTAGTTCTAAAAATAACTTTTTATAAAGTTATAGAAAGTAAAATGAATCAAATCAAATCAAATTCATTTGAGCCATGAGTGAAATCTAGGCTGACTCATCTTAAAAATCAAGTTTTAGAATTCAAAACAGCGTTAAACTTAGTATGAACAAGTATTTTTACTCAGAATTGCATGAATTGCATTTGGAAA